CTGTATTATTGAAAAACGATGAGGGGAAAATATGACCTTGATTTCGTTTCAGTTAAATGAAGTAAGCGTTCTCCTCACCATGTTCCTTTTCATCAGGGAAGAAGCTTGTTTTTTTGTTATTGTTTCAATTTATTGATGTAATTCTCAGAAATCTCGAATAGCGAAGAAAATTTCTCTGAAACCTTTATATTTTGAAAAACTGAAATTTGAAATGAAAAAACTACAATTTCAACCCTTTTTGACCTTGATAATCTTAAAAACTTCCAGAAGAACCCGTCAACAAGCATAATTGATCAACGTTTTCAAAAAACATTTAATTGTGAGAGTTTCACTGAACAATTTTACAAAAGCGCAACACGCTGACTATATTCTACATATACAATGCTTATCATACCTTATTTCACAATTTAAAGTACCTACATTTCAAATACCTGATTTTTACCCGAGTTTGTAATGAATTAAAAAACCTGAGCTTATGCTTTGTTTGTTCACTCACTCGAATTGACTGCTGTGTTGGTCGGTGGTTCAAGCCGTAGTCTGAACGATCGATCTTCACTTGCTATCGTCCAACCCGTGTTAGGAATCACACGTTAGAAGGTAAGACCTCGTTAATCCTCAGCTTGCCACAAGTTTCGACTTCTGAGGGTTGTCGTTCGTAGGGGTGCGACAGCTGGTTAACGGAAAAACAAAAAACAGAAACAGAAAACAGAGCCCTATTCTAAGAGACGTAAGCTAAAAGAATCAGCGTATATTCTCATGTCTGGAGAGAATTGTATTTCGAATAGCTCCTTAGAAATAGACCGTACTCAGCTACCCGTCTTGAAGAAAACTTTGGATAGTGGCGAAATGGCAACAAACTGATATCGGAGAGTACCTTGTATTACATCGAATGTTTCAGTTGTCAACCAACAACATTGACATAATTTCATATTTCAAAACTTCTTTGACATCTGTCGAAGAAGTAAAGAAATAAACTATCAAAAAAGGAATAACTGCGAATATATCCGAATTTTTCAGCCATTTCTGAAGACGGAGGCAGATTTTGGCATCCGAAACGTAAAAGATAAGTATTATTTCTAAATAATTTTTTTGATAGGCAAAATTGTTAAATACGACAAGTTACTGATAAATAGAAGATTTTTCTTTGTGAAAAATACTTTGATTTTTACGCAGTAACTTATCGGGGTAAACTTGAAAGTTTGTCCTTCTACACTTGTATAAAGTTCCCCATTATAATTTTAATATTTTTCAGATTGTTCAAGGTAACAAATACCCAAAAAAGATCGATAAAAAACTTCCTTGATGTTCGACGATTTTTGTATTTCCTACATATACTTTTGAAGATGATCGGCAAATTAGTTTGTAAGCACATCATCTGTTTTCCTTATCTACCTGTAACTTGTTCTTCATATGTTCACCCAAGGGTATTACTTTGTGCTGAATTTTCCGTAATCTATACATTTCCATTCAAATTGCCATAAACGGTGACATTTCTGAAAGGGCAAATGTCTGTAGTTTTTTCAAAATTTCTCAAAGATATTGTACCCAGGTCAACTCAGTAATACCCATAAAAAGACTTCTACAACTCCTTTTGCAATAACTCATGTCACTTTTCAACATATTTTTTCATATCACTTCCTTTGAACATTTGTCCTCGTTGTTTTTTATACGAATCAGTCTCAACTGAGAAGGAAAAAATAATATAGCGATTTGGTCACTCCAATTCAGTTGTACAACTATTTCACCATACAATGAAAATGTCACTCATGTTGCAAATATTCTTTTTCCACTACCACTTTATATTCTCTCACTGAAATTCTATAAATTTGTAAACTCCTCATAGAAACGAAGATTTTAATCCTGAGTAGATATCTTTTTTTGAGGACAAAACCCAAGCACTATATATGCTTCATATGCCAAAGCAGCGATTCACATCGGATTTGAGTCACTGGAGAGATTGTTTGTCGTGACATTATTATATCCGGTTCGGAGACGTTCATCTTTTTGGAGAAAACCTTCGCCTGGGTTTTTGTGGCATTGAATCGAACTTGGTTATTTCCACCACAATTCGAAATCCCTTCCAGATCCTCATCTGGATATATACCCTTCTGCTGCCGGTGAAGATGTGCATCCACAGCCGATGTCCTAGAATCCAAATGGAATGACAAAGCAAGTGTGCTGTCGTCAGCAAAGCAATATATTCTAATCTTGATTTTTTCCAATAAATCGTTGAATAACAATAAAAGGAGGCTCAGGGACAATATGTATCCCTGTGGAACACACCAGCGTTGATGGTGAAAGTAAACGAGAGATATCCATCGACGGCCACCGTCAGAGAACGTTTTTTGGCGATCTGGAATTGCAAACCAAGAAAGCAACACCACTTCCAAATCGGATAATATAATAACGGTTTGAATTGGATTTCACCAGGTTTAATCAATTCTGGATACGCCGCTGATTTAACGCAGAAAGCTCGTTTACTGAACGAGATTCTTGAATGGATCCCTAGAGAGATAGCCGCTAGCTGGTAACTTCTTAGCTGTTGTCGTTGGCTTATCAATAGTATCATTGTGGTGGTTGGTACTCATAATAATGGATAGATATTTTCAAGAAACTTTCAACCGATGATAATCAAATTGATGTTCACTTAGTTTTGGTATGATAAACATTAAAAGTGATGGTAATTTAATAATTTGATTTTCTGAAAGTGTGAGTAGTGCGCGCAATTTTTAATTTTTTTTTTTTAATTTCTTGTGAAACCACTGAATAACATCAAATATTATTTGCACAATAATTCCTCATCATTCTTAAAAATCATATACAGTGTGACCCATTTTTAATGGAAACACCCCCCTAAAATTTGAAGTTGTGAATTGATTTTAATAATTTTTTTAAATATCAAATACTAAAAGGTCTACCTTGGGACAAAATTTGAAATGTTTATTGAAGTTTCAGGGCATACTACGATATTTTTTCTTAGTCGAAAATCGGGATTTTTTATTAGCGATTTTTTTATTGAAAAAATCACTACGCCAGTGGATTCAAAGTGCCTCTAAATAGGTGTGACCAAAATTTCATGAAAAAATATTCATTATTAACAAAGTTATGACAACTCAA